GTGTCCATTGAAGAGGGTAGCAGTAGATAAGGCAGGGAGATAAGGCAGTAGATAAGGAAGGGAGGGAGGGAGGGAGGAAGGAAGGGAGGAAAGGAGGCAAGGCAGAGTTCTACAGGGTGGAGAGAACATGTGCTCTGGAATTAGACCAACTAGAATTCAAATCCTTGTTCTACCACTTTCTAGTGTTTTGTTTGTTTTTACCTCCCTGGGCCTTGGTTTTCTCATCTGTACATGAGGGTAATAATCCTCCCTCACAGGGGATTGTGAGTGTTAAATGCAGAAGTGATTGTAAAAATGCCTGGCACATTGCTGATGTTCAATTAATGACAGCTGTTGTTATTGACTGCCATGCTAAGACATTTATTTGATTTTTTTTCTGTAGGCAGTAAGGTTTTTCTTTAATTAACAGATTACATATTGGTACAATATTCAGCCTTGGTGTCTATGTAAATCATAATATATCCTTCTTGACCTCTGAAATATTAATAAAGGCAGTGAACACTGAGGGTCACACTCATGGAACACTGTAAAGGAATGTTTGTCTTGAGTCCTTTCACCCCTTTTTTGCCATCTCAATGCCCAGGGCTTTCAGAGATTCACCCTAGTTCTCCCGACTTAGGTTTGCCAGACTTAATAATTAAAAATGCAAGATACCCAGTAAAATTTAAATTTCAAATAAATAACAAATAATTTAGTGTAAGCATGTCCCATGCAGTATTTAGGACATGCTTCTACTAAAAAGTCATTCTTTGTTTATCTGAAATTTAAACTTGGCAGAGCATTCTGTGCTGAGGAGCAGGCTAGAAATCAGCCAGAACAGTCTGTGCATATTTGGGGAAGGGGCTGACCATCTTCTAGTCTTTTTTCTCAGGTATTCTCTCTCTTGGATAATGAAGGCTCCACATAGCAGGCTTTGGGCAGTGCCTTCAAATCACTTCCTGGGTGGAGACATTAAATGCTGATGGGCCCACTGTGTATGTTTGGGTGGGAGTGGAGGTGAAGCTGGGAAGAATGTCTTTATCGGCCTTCACATGTCCCCAGCCTTCCCGCTCCTGGGCACAAACACACATCAGCCCTTACTTCCTCTAACTTTGAAGTCTCATGGAGGATTTTCTGTTCTTTCTTCAGAACATTCTTTGCCGGCGCAGTGGCTCACGCCTGTAATCCTAGCACTCTGGGAGGACTAGGCGGGCGGATTGCTCGAGGTCAGGAGTTCAAAACCATCCTGAGCAAGAGCAAGACCCCGTCTCTACTATAAATAGAAAGAAATTAATTGGCCAGCTAATATATATAGAAAAAATTAGCCAGGCATGGTGGCGCATGCCTGTAGTCCCAGCTATTTGGGAGGCTGAGGCAAGGAGGATCGCTTGAGCTCAGGAGTTTGAGGTTGCTGTGAGCTAGGCTGATGCCATGGCACTCACTCTATCCTGGGCAACAAAGCAAGACTCTGTTTCAAAAAAAAAAAGAGCATTCTTGCAGACAGTTGGCAGAATGAAGACAGCCTTTGTGGTCTGATAACTTGTCCCATAGGAGTAGAGCAAGCCTCAGGGTGCAGTGCCCTCTTCCTGGGTTTCTTCCAGGAATACTGCCAACCGTGGGAACTTTCATTGTCCCTGTGGAGAGATGCGTGGTGTGAGTGACTTGAGATGAGACAGCCATCCAGGCATGATGGTGAGGGGCTGAACACACTATGCTCCAGTCATCTGTGGACTATGGTGTGGGAGCTGGAAGGACAATACAGCTGCCTCACTTCAGAAGTGAAACAAAGGAGACCCCAGAAGGGATGTGCTCTGCCCAAGGTCACACAGCTCTTCAGAATTTGAATCTGAACTTAAGTCTAGGTCTTCTGTCTACTACCTTGGGTTCTTCAGTACTAGTTTAGGGGATCTGAGAAGTCTTGGCATGCTTGTTTGGTTGGTATCTGATATTTTCTCTGGATTACTTGATAAATAGCCCCACATACCTCCATAAGAGCAAGGCTACTGCTGTGGGTAGCTAAGGGCACTTTCTACGACCAGCCTGGTCTCAGCCCTCCCATTAGTGCCTCCTTACTCCTTCCTTTGCCACCGCTCCCCACCCCACTTCCCTGGCCAAGCATTCCATGGTTGAGATGGAACAATCCACCTCAGAGCAGATAGCTTTTAACCTCAGTTTCAGGGGAATAATTTGTCGATGTAACATGAAGTGAAAATTAAAACAAAGCAGGGCGTAGTTGAGCAGAAGAGCACCCTTGGGCTTAAGAGTGACTTTGACCTATTCCTCCCAGACTGGAATAATTATCCGGCTGCCAGAGGGTTCTTAGAGGAATCCCTTTATTAAATGGTATCACTGGCAAAGTGGTATTAACCCTAAGACCAGCTTTATCTGAACCCTGAAAGCAAACCTGACCGTGCAGGCAGGGCCAGCCCACGTGGAAGCCCAGAGCAGTGATCATGGGATCTTCCACTCTTTTTATTTTCTTATTCTTGCCACAACCTGTCATGAGACCAAGAAAACTTGTTTTGAAAATGCTTGACAGCCAAAACAACCTGTTCTCAACCCTGGACGAGAGGGTTTGTCCTCTCTGACCACTTATGTCCTGTTAGACATTTCACTAGCTGCTGACTGGAAAAAAATGAATTAGCTGTTTTCTTCTCATATTATTCACAGACAAGTACCGGTGGCTTTCCAGCTCCTGTTGCCCTTTTCCCCACCCTTTCCTTCACCAGAGACATTTTAAGATTATGTCTGAGTCTGACTGATGAATGAACATTAGCAGCATATACTTAAGCTGAGCTTGATATGTAGGCTGTCTTTCCCAGCCCCATTAGGGTTTAACCTTAGAGTTAATCTGTAGATAGATTTTAACCTTAGATTTAATCTGTAGATAGACTTTAACCTGTGGTTTTCCACTTGCTTTTTGGTCCTCTCTGGTTAAGTTAAAAGTGTTAGTTAAAATCTCCAGTTATCCAAGTGGCCATTTTGGCCTCTGGGTTGGTGGCCTTCAAGCTACAGGAGGATCTCTGTTCTACCAAGCCATGCAAATCAGACCATGGCCTTGGGTAGACAGCCAAATGCTCCTGTGACTGTAAGGGAGTCACTTTGCCTCTCCTACTTGGCACAAGAAAGGGTGGGACTAGATAAGGAATAGACAAACAACAGCCCAAGGGCAAAGCTGGCTAGCCTGTTTTTATAAATAAAGTTTTATTAGAACACAGCCATACTCATCATTTACATATCATCTATGGCTGCTATCACTACAAGGGCAGAGGTGGATTGTTGCAACAGAGTATCTGGCCTACAAAGCTGAAAATATTTATTATTTGACCCTTTACAGAAAAAGTTTGCTGATCCCTGGACTAGATGATCTCTACAGATTTCAAAGCCAGCGTTCTATGGCTTTTGAACTTGTGACAATTCTTTTGCAAGAGCTCCTAAAGTAACTAATAAGGGGCTAAGTAGAAAGAGCCTTTTTTTCCCCTGAAGAGGTTAGCGTTTCAAAGCATGCTTTGAGATTGTTGAACTCTACAAAGGGTGGGAGCTCATTTTGCTGTATTTTTACAGTTTATTTTACTGCATGTCTGTATTTGTTTATTGGTCTAATGGCTCTGGCACCCACAGTGTCTACCAGTTTTGGAAAAAAAGATACCCAAGCTGTATAGGTCTAACTATATTCAGTGGCATGGGTCAAAGTGGGACAACCCATTTGTACCCATGTGAATACTGATTCATCTGCTTGATAAACATGGCAGGAAAGGGAGCCAAGCACTGCCCTCCAGAACCTGTGTGGCTGTCCAAAGCCCGCCCCCGTCCTGGTGTGTCTGAGCAGTGGGATGGGGATAGCCACATGTGGTGGGGCAGTTCACTGGGCTGTGGGTAAGAAAAACAGGAATGGGTTCTGAAGATGCCTTTAAAAATGCACACTTGGAAGGAAGTACTCTTTTTCACTTTCTTCCCCAAAGCCAATTCAAATAAGGTTCTAATTTTCAGAATTTACATCCCAGTGAAGTTCCTCATTAGTGCATCAGATGCATAATAGGGAACCCAAAACACAGAATCAATAGGTCCTCTTACCAGGGCCACCTTGGCCTACAAAGAACCTTTGTGCAAACTAGAAAAAGGTCCCTCCTTTGGGTTGGTGCAGAGTTTGACTAATGGCTTTGGGTAAAGAAAAAGCCATTCCTTTCTCTGGGCATCTGACCCTGGGCAAACACACAGCTTAGCAAGCCAAGCCCTGGCTAGATTGCAGCGTTGGCTAGATTGCAGTCCCTTGACCTGAGGCCTTTGTGCAGGACAGAAGCTGCACTCCCAGTGCAGAGCCCCTGCTTATACCTGAGGTGTTAGAAGTCTGGGGGGTACCCCCACAGGGGCCGGGCTGGTCAGCAGCAGGTTAACTCTGCTTGCCCTTGGTCTTTGAGACCATAGCAGGTTGGGCTGGTCCCCGACACACCCCATCATACCTATCCCATTCAGCAGTGCTGCAGGGCCACTGTGGCTCCAGTCTCAGGGCTAAAGGATGGGCACCCCATGCTGGAAGCAGAGACTTAGTCCTCCCACAGGCTCTGTAGGGCCTGCTCTCATTCAGGTGCTTACTTTGGAGAGCTCTGGCCCTGGCTCTTCCTTGCCAACTTCTGACCTAAAACTGGCTCAACTTAAGGAATGCACGTGATTTTCCACATAGTTAAATCTCAAAGGCAGTCCCCTAGCAGAACTAAGAAATATGCTCAGAGGTCCAGAACAGACAGGCTCGTGGCAGGGGAACTGACCTCACTCTCAAGGCATTGGGTTACACACAGCCCAGTGTGTACAGTGACGACATTCCTCCAGGACACCCATCCTCGTCAGAGCGTGTTGTCAGAGTGGTTTTGAGAAGGCTGTTGATGACTCTCTGTGGGTGAAACAGTGTTGTGGTCAGATGTGACTTCCACCCCACAATTCATGCTGGAAACTGTATTTGGGGCAGCCATGTGAGCAAATTTTGAAAGATTCCTGTCCTACCTGCTTCATTCTGCATCTCTCAGCGGTTCCCAGCAGCTCAGAGCCTGGAGGAGTGGGAAGAAAGAGGCTACAGCCCACAGCAGTAGAGGACTTAATATCTGCTTCCAGTCCCATTTTCTTTGTTCTAAAAGACTGCTGGGAGCAAGAGGAGGTGCAGTCCTTCACTGTTTGGAGCCCCTGAAATGGCACCATGTTCAGGAATGGTGAGAGTCCTGTGGCCATAGCACTTCCCTCTCTGTGACCTAGAAAGACGCAATCAGGAAGGTAAAGGGCGGCACGTGTGTGTCCAGTGCTGTTGCACACTATGGGAAGGGTGGTGGCAGTCCATGAAGTCTACCCAGGTGCATCAGCATGGGGCCCAGGGCCCAGGGCCTGAGAGAAAGAAGGCTCTTGCTGGCAAATGTCTCCAGTGCCCCAAACTCCCTATTCCGAATCACCAGGCACGCGGTGCCGCCCCGCACATTGAGCTGCAGCATCTATGCAGACGTGGGCTTGGGAGCCGCGCTCAGCAGGGCCCTTCTAGTGCAACGCAGCTGCGCCCAGAAAGGGCCTCTTTCTCTCCTATAGTTGTTAGTGATACAAAGCATACGCTGAGATTGTTGAACTCTACAAAGAGTGGGGGCTTACTTTGCTGTATTTTTACAGAGTTTATTTTGCTACTCGAGCCTGAACCCTCAGTGGCCACAGAAGACACAGAAGACCCTCCAGGGCTGGCAGTGTGCTGTTGGCAGGGCACTGGCCTGTATCCAAATCTCACTCTGCCTTTACCACATGCCTGACCTGGGGCAAGCTACTTCCTCTCTCCAAGCCTGTTTCTTCATGTATACAGGGGGAAGAGACTAACGGGATCTGTTTCATACATATGATTGTTGCTTGGATTAAAATAAAACTATTTTAAAAGCATATTATAAACTGTAAAATGCCAAGTATCAGGTTAATTCGTTCACTGAATCAGCAAATACTGGATACCGTTATTGCTAGCCACTAGTTTAGACAGTGACCGCAGGTGGTCCAGGCCTTTGTAAATAGAAGCTATTCAATCAGTGTTTGTCGAATCAAAGTGAAACAGGATGCTCAGTGTGTGTTTATGTAGCTCTATGATGGCAATGGAGTGGTGGGACGAAAGGACACTACCATGACTTGAGTTCTTACCACATGCCTGGCACTGTTGTCCCAGAACAACCACTATGGCACCACTGGAGAGAAATTAACAGAGACTCAAGGACTTTTCCAAACAGCTAATAAGTGATAGATCCGTATTTGAATTCAGTTCTCTCTGACTCCAAAATCCATGTTCTTTTCTCTTCATCAGGTAGGAATGAGCACCAGGTGTTCTCCTCACCCTAGAATGACAGAACATTCCATCTCTAACCCATTTTTCTTTTCTCAAACATCCCTTAAATCAATGACCCAGGCTAAATCCCAGCCAAAAATGATCACTCCTGATTCTAGACCAGACTGTAGGAATCGTGTGAAATCAAAGCAGAGGCTGTATCATCACAAGCCAAACCTTATGTCCATACGGTGCAGGTTTTAGGAAAACAACAGCCTTTAATGCATGCTTGAAATTCCTTACATGGTAAGCCACTGTGAGAAAAATCTCACCCAAACAATGTGCTCTTGGCAGAAGGAGGGTGGGTATCTTTTCAGGCATGAAGCAAACCAGCAGGGACCCAGAAACCACTCTAGGGAGTTGTTGGTTTCCCCAGAAGGTCTAGCTTTTGAAAATAAACTTAACAAAGGATTTCATTTGTCCCTCTGCCATGACCCACGCAGGTCTGGATGCCTCCCTAGCCTCTAAATCCTTGGGGAGGGGACAGTCACGGAGTTCCTTGTCCTTGTGTCAGTTCCCAGCTCAGCACTGATGCATCCTATTCTCAAGTTTAGCACCACATATTTATAAAGTAGGGTTAAAAAAAAAAAACCAAAGAAACTAGATAGATTATTGTCTGGGTTAGTCTCCATAAAACAGTCCCTACAATTGACAGTTGTTGCATAAACTTAAGAATAGATCCTTAGGAAGGAATGGTATTCATTTATTCAGTCAGTCAGTCAATCAATCACACAACAGAAAATTAGCATGTTTCTGTGTCACTGAGATGTAACCCTAATAAATGAACTCAGGTGTTTATACCCTAGAGGTGGGAGGGGGCGAGGTGGTCTAAAGAGCTGCATTTAAAGCTGGCAGACCCAGGACATCAGAGCCAGCAACACTCAGGGAACACTCAGTGCTCAGGAGGCAGCCTGGCCTTGGGGCACAGAGCAAATGGTGGAGCCTCTGGCCGGCCCCCCCCTACTCAGTTCACAAGGCCACCCTGGACCTCAGTGAGGTATGAGCCACCAAGCTCCACCCAGGGGTGACCACAGAAGTAGAAAACTTGAATACCAGAGGCATCAACTGGCAATCCCAGTTGATGTAGGAGTGCTTTGTTCCAGAAAGCAGAAATAGGACCCATGGGTGGGCGTCGTAAGGGGACAGATTTCAGTTTAGGAGAAGGAAGAACATTACACCTCCCAGAGATGCTTTAAGCATTGGGTATTCAGGCAGTGTACAGCTGCCGGAGCATCGCCCCTCAGAAGTGCTGTTAGGGCAAGCCCTGCCTTGGACAGGATCCTAAGGCCTCCTCCACCTGTGAGTGTCACTGATTCGCACCAAATGAGAGGCTTGACAATTTGTGTTATGGAGCTTCAGAGGCAGGACAAATGGCCGTGGGCTGGGCTTGGCGGCAGCAGGTTCCGTGGAAAGCCTGAGGCGGAGGCCAGGCACTGAGGATGGGTCAGTTTGGGGTAGGTGGGGAGGCCTCCAACATGTTGCATGGCCCAGGAAAGTACCCTTTCCCTGCAAAGTAAAGGGGTTCCTACTTAGTTGGCTCCCAGACTCACAAAAAGGAATTAATTATTGTTTGTGATGCACTTTAAGATCCCCCGATGAAAGGCCTTGTATAAATGTAAATTGTTATTATTGTCATTAAAGGGGCTAGACGTCTGGCCTGCTGGTTAATGCCCCTGCATAGCTCTAAGCAGAAAAGAAAGCAAACTCAAGGCAGAAAATTTGCTCGGGTTGTTCCAAAGCAAGAGCAATAAGAAGGAATTGGCCCAGGGCTGTGAAAGCAAAGCTCCCCAGCTCCCACCCAGGGTTAGCATGCAGCTCTCTGCTCTGGGAGTCAAGTGTCTTTGTGTCCCCTGAGGCCAGGGCCCTGCTCAGATGCATTCCTTCACCCCTGCAGGAACCAGCCCATGGCTCACACAGGAGCCATGCCTGAATGTGTAGATGTTTCGTCGTCTGTGGGTTTGAAGAATAGAAGGACCATGTCCAAGATGGATACTGGCCATCATTCTTAGGGCCCTAAGTCAGATCTGGAGACAAAGGGGAGATACATAGAAACTTCAGACATATGCAATACCTCTGATGATGCTTATTAAGGCTCTTCAGAGAACCCCTCTAGCAAAGCACAGGGAGAGGTCATTTATTAAATTACTGCTTCCACTTAAACTGTCTCTGGCTAAAGTGGTTGGATTGATACCAAAGCAATAATAATAATAATGGATAATAGTAGATTAGACCTAGCAGTGACCTCAGAAACCATCCCTTCCCTTCACAGATGAGGCAGCTGGGGCACAGAGAGGTGAAGTGGCTTATCCAAGGTGGCATCACAAGGGAGAAGCAGGCTGGGGTCACAGCTCAAGCTTCCCATCCCGAGTCCACAGTTCAACTGTGTCAGGATGATAATACATCCCATTTTATAGCATTTTACGGAGGTATTGCTTTTCAACAACCCTAGGGAATTTTAAGATGCCAGATGACCTTTACATTAAAGGAACTTTCTGAGTACCCTTTGTTCTTCTGAGGCTCATTGTTTAGAGAACATTCGTGGTGCTTCCCATGTGTCCTGGGTGAACTACGTGTGCCCTTCCTACATTCCTTTTCCTTCTCCCAGGCACTCGGGGTAGCCATCTTTCTTCATTAGGAGGTGCCTTACTGCCTCCAGGAACTACATGGCCAAGCGAGAGGGAAGTCAAGTTCATCCCTTTTGTCTCTTGTTACCACAGTCATAATTCTACTGAAAAGCTACCCAATGCAGGTCTCTACATGAGGGCTAATGATACCAGTCAACATCTCTAGACACACAAACCTACCAGAGGGAGGGCCATTTGGGGATTTTGTAAGAACAGATGTAAGGGTAATGGGATTGGCAGTAAGTAGCTCTTGAAATTCATCACTGGGATGTTGGCAATTCCAGGAAAAGTTTAATGAAGGAAACTAAACTATAGTTAAAACAAGTTTTGGGAGGTAGGAGACCAGCATATCAAAAATTTTAGAAATTATCTATCTTACTCCCTCATCATGTAGGTGAGGAAACAGAGGAGTGATTCAGTGTCATATGGCAGAGCCAGAGATGGAGCCCAAGTCTCCCAAATCAGTTGCCATCGCTCTTTTAATTGGCATCATGGAAAGAACGTGCTCTTTGGAGTCAAGCAGCTTTGGATTCATAAATAGCATCGCCACCTATTAGCTGTGTGATCTTAGAAAATGTACTTGGCATCTCCAAATCATAGATTTCTCTTTGGCAAAAATAGAGCCTCTTACCTGGTAGTAGGCCCATGAGAAGGAGCAAATGTAAGGTAATACAGAGGAAAACAAACAGCATGATGGCCAGCATGTAGCGCGCACTTCCCTTACCTTATACTCATGGCTTCCAGACTTTTTATTATTATTATTATTTTACCACAATCCATAGCAAAATATTTATTTTACATCCTAATCCAGTGTATACAACTGAAACAAAAATGCCACAGGTGATGTGCTCTGATTTTATTTCACTTTATTTTAATGCTGGTCGGGATCCACTAAATCAATTTTACAACCCACTAATGGATTGCAGCCCACTGTTTGAACAAGCCTGCTGTACACCATGTGTGGATGTCATTTGTCCATGTCATGCGTATCCGCTTCCTTTCCTTTCCTTTCTCTCTCTCTGTAACTGGCAGCTGGGGCTACAGAACTACCTGCTGACAGTATATGTATGACCCTGAGCTGGTGCAGAGTAGGGTGAGCCCTGCAGACTACAGAGCAGGTGGATCTTCCTCCTGTATTTCCTCCCCATCCTCTCTGGTGCATGATTCGAGAGAACCCATAAGGCTTTCCACCCGCCAGGATTCAGCCCCCTGCCAGCCTATGTGGAACTTCCCCACACCTGTGCCCCAGGGGAGCCCACCTGACCTTCCCATTGTGAGAATTCCTTTCTTCACTAAAGGCCATTGTCTGCAGAAGGCCGTTGTACCCCAGCAGAGAGGGTGGAACTTGGGCGTCCTCTCCCATTGAGTTGTGTCTTCCTTGGGAAGTGCTGCTTTTCTGTCTGAAGCACAGGGAGCCCGGTGTCTGGGCCATTCTTTCAGCTGTGAGGGGGATTGAGGTAAAAAGAGGAGGGACCATGTCCATTTTGCTGCCCCTTCCCCCAGATCTTCAAGAGCTGTGTGTAAACAGCCAGCAGGTGCCGGAGTGACCAAAATCTATGCCCAAAAGCCAGCAGGCAGGGGCCTGAGGAGCAACCTCTAGATGCTGAGATCTAGAAGGAGAAACCTAATTTACAACCAGGCAGATAACAGTTCAAAACCCTAGAGAGACTCTCGATTAGTTTATGTCCCCAAAGAGTTGATTTTCTAAGTGTTCTTTCAGTCCTTTGGAGGTCTGGCACGTCTAGAGGCTGATGCCTGGCGGTGCTGAGTGGAAATCTTGAGGCACTGTTCCGGCTGGGCGTGGCTTAGGCCTGGACCCACATTCCCTGGGGTTTGTTTTGCGGGTACCCTGAGCATTTCCTCTTGGAGGGCCATCCTTTGGTTTTTCCCCTTTTGCTGACTAAGAGGTGGAGGGTAATCTGTGATTTTGATGGTGACTCACTGCC